CAACTACTAATATATTTAAAATAAGTGATAATTGTGTCAAACTAATTGTCAGTATATTTTTTATTTATCAAGATTAAATACACATTAAAATATTTTTGTGCAGAATCGATAAATAAAATTTCTGTTTTTATTTGGGCCACATTTTGAAATAAATTTTAAATTTTAATCAAACTATATGAAACTAATTTAATTACGAGTATTAAAACAAAAATTCTGAATGCGGTTGTGGAGGTGAGGACACGCGAGACACCTGGTTCAAATTTGGGCTTGAAACTAATTAAATTAAATCAAATCTTTTCTTATGTTTATTTTATTTTATAAATTAGTAAAAGCTATAAATTATTTTAAAATTAATTATTTTGTCTTAATAACCTAAAATACTTTTTTAAATTTGTAGGTTTTTGTTTAGTGGGTAGTAGAAAAATTATACTGTACCACTCGAGTGAATTATCCATATCCAATAATAAATGTTTGTTCTTTATCACCACTTTCAGTTATTATTGATATCATAAATCTAAATTTGTTAAATACGTAGTCACATTCATAAAAAGCAACACAAATCCAAAAAGGCCGTTTGCTTTCACAATTTTTTTTCCTGTACATTCAAAAAAGACGATATGTTTACCTATATTTTTATTTTATTATCAATATATTATGACGAGAAGAATCAAGTCATGCGATAGTTCAAAGTACGAAACGAATGAAAACTTATTTATAAAACTTTTATTTTTCTTCTTGTACTGATTATCTTTATTATTGTTCTAAATACAGTTAATATACTGCTTATTATTTTTTATAATCACAAATCACACTTGGTTCTAATTTTAAACTATTTTATGTTTTTATAATATCTATATACAGGGTTAGGCAAAATTGGCGGAACACCCGATTTGCGGCTTGATTATGAATTATATTGAAAATTAATCCCAATAAAGTTTTGTGTATATTTTATGTACTATTTAATAACGCTTGGGGATTTTCATCTACTGTCATATTTATCGAGATATGACGTCATCGGATGAAATTTTAAATAAGTCACTCTACATTTATATTTGTTTTCGGATAGATCTTTTTTTTCTGAATCCATCAATGTAGGGTTTAAAGGTATCTGAGTTCATAATAAAATAGAAAGTACTCATTTATTTAATAAAAAATAATAATTGCTTTATTATATCAGTCGAAATAGACAAATCTTTCAAAAGTAATTGTTCGAAGTAAAAGCATCCAACTGCCTGACAATATCCTAGTCCAGTGGTCGCCAACCTGTCGATCGCGAGCTACCGGTAGCTCGCGGAGGCAATTCTGGTAACCCTCGCAACGATTTTAATTTAAAAAATACAAACTGCAAAAATCAGAGAAGCTTCCGAAAATTCCACAAAAAACAGCGGTAACGTTGCGGTGAACGATCTGCCGCTGACGCCATTAAGCTAGAATCGGCTAGAACCGACCAGCCGAACCAGCGCGTTAGTGTTCGAGAACGATCAGGATTGCTTTGAACGGGATAAATACGCACGGCGCGGCGACATTGCGCTTAGATTAAAACTGAACGCGTAACCAACGTCCAGCGGTTGGGTTAGTAGAGAACAACAAAAAATAATATTATGGCAAGCAGTTGTAAGAAGGTAAAGACATACCACTTTCATTCGGAATGGGAAGAACAATACTTTTTTACAGAAGTTAAAGATAAAAATGTGTGTTTGTTATGTAATACTTCAGTCTCCGTTGCTGAAAAAGGAAATATTGTGAGACATCATAAAACTGTACATTCTAATTTTGAAAAATCATTCCCACTACATTCTGCCGCCAGAAAGGAGAAACTGAAACAGTTAAAAAAGCAGTTAATTGGACAACAATTAATATTTTTAAGAACAGTCGACAAAAATAAGGTTGCAACTGAAGCATCGTACCGTGTGTCCCAGATAATTGCACAAAAAAAGAAACCTTATGAAGACGGGGAAATGATAAAACAGGCGTTTTTAGAAGCTGCTGATTCGTTATTTGCCAACTTTAGAAATAAAGACGAGATAGTTTCAGCTATAAAATCTATGCAACCTTTTGCTAATACAGTGATGAGACGTGTAGAAGTAATGAGCAATGATATTTTTTTTACAGTTAAGAACTGACTTAGATAACTGTGTTTATTTTTCACTTCAACTGGATGAATCAACAGATGTCGTTGACACTGCCCAGATGGCCGTGTTCGTCAGGATGGTTTTTAGTGATTTTACGAATAAAGAAGATCTTTTGAAATTTATTCCACTGAAAGGACACACTACTGGACAGGAGTTGTTTTCTCATTTAAAAAATATTATTTCTTCCGAGAAAATTCCAATATCGAAAATGGTAGGCTTAACAACCGATGGCGCTCCAGCTATGGTGGGTTGTGATAAGGGTCTGGTGGCGTTATCTCGTAAAGATGAAACTTTTCCGCAATTTCTCTGTTACCACTGCATTATCCATCAGCAAGCATTATGTGGAAATTTCCTGAAACTAAACAACGTTATGAAACTGGTGGTAAAAATTGTGAACAAGATTAGAGCTCAAGCGTTACAAAGAAGATTATTCAAAACCTTGGCCGATGAAGTTGACTGTCAATACGGGGACCTACTCCTTCACTCTGAAGTCCGATGGTTAAGTAAAGGATGGGTGCTGAAACGTTTTAATTATGTCCTATCTGGCATAGTTCAATTTTTCAAACAACGCGATGAACCGACTCCGGAACTAGAAAATTCAATCTGGCTTAGAGATTTTGGTTTTCTCGTGGACGTTACAGAGAAATTAAACGAACTTAATTTGCAGCTTCAGGGGAGAGACAAAGAACTAGCGGAAATGATTTCTGATATAAAAGCATTTATCAAAAAGCTGGAGTTTTGGGAACAAAACCTAATTAACAGTGATGTCAGGCATTTTCCTATTCTTTCAGAAAAAATATCTCAAAATCCATTAGAACCCTATGACAGCAAATATCATGTAGAAATAGTTTCTACCCTGAAGAATAACTTCAAAAATCGTTTTAAGGATTTCAACGTAATGGCTTTAGTAGCGCAGTTTGTTGTTTCACCCTTTGTGGAAATTGATATCCAACAGTTTGCAACTTGTGTTATGCAGAATTTTGGCGAAGACATCGCTGCAACAGAAATGGAAGTAATTGAGTTTCAAAATGATTTAGCCTTAAAATCGTTAATCTCAAGTACCTATTGTAAGTAAAGACAAATATTCAGTTCTATGCCGTGTTGCCTTGAAAGTGAAGGCATTATTCAGTTCAACCTATTTGTGTGAATCTTCTTTTTCCAATATGAAGTTTATTAAGAACAAATATCGCAAGCGACTTACAGATGAACATTTGGATAATTGTATTCGAATGACTGTATCAGATTATACTGCAAACATTAAAAAAATTATCGATGAGTCTGAGTGTCAGCCTTCTCATTGAACGTGCTTTTTTATTTTTCAATGTTTATGTTCATGATAGTGCGTTAATTTTTTGTTGTTATTATTAACTATTTTTAAATTTTACGTGGCTGGATAAAAGTTTGTGTTTATTTTTGAAACAACTTCGTTTGGTAGGTAGGAATGTAGCTATGAACAAGTACGTACTAGTAATATTAGTTATTTTGTTATTAGTTTATTATTAGTACCTATGTATTATGTATTACCAGTTAAATAGTAAAATAAATACATATAATGATAAATTAACTGTGGATTATTTCATTTACGTTGCGTTACGTGGCTTCCGTGTGGGTAGCTCGCTGTTTATTCCAAAATTAACAAAGTAGCTCAACACATTGAGAGGTTGGCGACCACTGTCCTAGTCTATCAACAAATAATCTTAAGGCATTTTGATAAACTTTAAGTGTTATTTCTTGGTTTAAATTAATAAAAATTTTTAGTAGTATCAAATGTTGAGAGTTATTTATTGTCGCATATTGGGCTAGTTTGGATGAAATTATAGACTTGCATATAAACTCAACTTGTGGATAGTTGTTATTCATTAATTATTCAAAACAACGTTTACCTTTCTGTTTTATTATTTTCTTGTGATAAAGTAAGTCAGAGACTACCCGAACCCTAAGCGTCATTAAATAGATCATAAGATATACGAAAAAAGTTTTTCGATTCAATTTGTAGATAATCTGTAGATAGGCCACAAATCGGGTCTTCCACCAATTTTGCCCAACCCTGTATATTTATATTACGATATTGTAAAAAATGTATATGGATTTGTTTTTGGTAAATCCCTAGTCTAAAACAAAGCTGTTACAAATTATACATCGTTGTATATTTAATTAGGCGTTCATTTATATAAACGATTAAGTGGCATATCCCACGGGAATTCCCTCTTTAAAATAGGAGATTTAAACTGACGGAAATAAAATTGATTCATCAATAAAACATTTTATATTAGAAAAAGTTCTCAGAAAAGTTGTAGCATGCTGGGATTAAAATAAAACAATTTAACTTACCAGTATCCAAAATTTGCTAGTTTATATTTTGTATAAATACCATTGTGCCATAAAGTCGGATCAATAATCAATATGGGATTTTTTTAATATTACGATTGAAAGAAAGCATCGTTGGGTTGGGCAATCACCTCTGCTTTTATTTAAATTTAAATTATGCATTATTTTCTTGTAAATTGCAAAATCATTTGCATAATTTTAATATTCGTAAAAAAAACACACCATCGAACATTATTTGACAAAAATTGGCTATGAAATTGTTTTCTTCTCGCCCCTTTTGAGGTTTTTCAATAACTTCAAAATTGTCAATTACAGGGATTAATCAAAAAGTATTAAATACTAAAATTTTCTTATAATCGGAATACCTAATTCGTTCAAATCGGTGTGTTAACGTAAAATGTCAGAAACTTTTTCATATACCTTGAAGACTTACCTGATCTTGAACCGGCACTGAAAGTGTTAATATTCTAAAATGAGACATTTAATATTTTAATACAGCTTTTTTTCTACCTATGTAATTTTATTTTATATTTTTTTCAGGTGGAATATTACTATTTGTCACTCCAAAATGACGATTTTATTGACTGTTTATAATTATCCAAGCTAATTATGTGGTAAAAAGCAAACATCATTTTTTTACTTAGGAAAAAATTACTAGAAATTTATTAATCACTGTCTTGTATAATAATTGTTGTATTTTATTGAATAAAAGACTGTTTTATAACAATGTAATTTTATTAATTTTTTTAAATAATCCACATAAAACCGAAACAACTGCAGAAGTATTTATCGGCTATTTTAACTTTATTTATCAAAATTTTCTATTTATATTGTAAACAGATGTTTTGTTTTTTACTGTAATAAATAAAGTTTATTATTATTATTAATATGACGGTTTTCTAGATTTATTTTAGTGTACTTATTTTTTTCAAAAGATAATTTTCTGACCAAAATTTGACCTGTTTTCAAATTCACGATTACCTGCTCATTATCGTCTGTCTGAAAATAATAATTCCTAATAATAAATTTATTAATTATCCAATGTATAAAAAATGTTGAATGATATATCTGATAGTTTTGCGTTTTAATTGGAGTCCAATATATTCTCAAGGTTTCTAAAAGGTATTTTCTGAGATTCTTCCTAAAATAGCGTAAAAAATAATTATTGAATATGTGATATTTGTAATAAAAAACCGGCCAAGTGCGAGTTGTACAATATTTAATACTAAGTAGGTACATTTTAATAACTTTATTAAGATTGAGAAAAAAAGCCAAAAAACTCGTTTCTAGTAGGGAGTCCCCTTTAATGTTTAATCTATTTATATTTGCGGCTTCTTTTGTCTTAACCACTGACTAATTGACTTCCTTTCAACCAGCAATGATATCATTTTGTTTCTAATCATTTAAAAATTATTACTTTTTGATTAGTGAACCTTACATGTTTTAGAAAAGTAACTATTTTTGATTTTCAAAAAATCATATCTCCGAAACTATGCATAGAAAATGGTTTAAACTTGCACATTTAACTTCTAGTGACTTCCAAAAATTTATCCAGAGTCATTTTTACAAGTATTTGGTGAGGGGTCCTTTCTAATAATTTAAAGTTTTATTTTATTAATAGAATAAGGTCCCAAATAGGTACTAAACTCGAACTTAAAATAGTATCAGACAGGTATTAGAGCACTTTGAGTGATAAGGGAAGAAACATATTTTAACCCGATTCAATGTTGCAAAAAATTGTCAAAAAATATTAAAAGTGCGGTATATTTTTCAATCAGTACTCAACTCAAAAATTTAAACCATCATTTTTTGTTTAATATAGAGTAGTAACAAAAAAGAGTAAAACAAAAATTTGCTGCATTTATACAACTGGTTAATGTAAAACAAAAGTAAAGAAAAGGAAGAAAATGGAAGGAAAAAGGGGGTGTTATATTGTTAGTTATGAAGATTAGAGAGAAGGAGACGATTCAACATACCTGAAATACGGTCCCAAAAAACGAACGCTAATTAAGCTTTTACAATTCACCGCAAAGGCGCTGGTGTTGCTAGGGATGTTAAAAATACATGGTTCTTATAGGAATTCTACATAATTTTCTAAAAATAATAAAAATAAACTTGTTTATTGCAAAATAAAGCACATAACATAATATTGTTGTATTTATTTCTAAATAAGTCTTGCATGTTTTAAGTGATAAATTATTTAAAGTTATCTATATAAAATGCAAATTAGGTATAATCAAATTCGAAATGGTTTGTTAAATGGTGAAATTTGGTAAGTACAAATTTGTGACTAAATTTTTTGAATTATACCTATATATATAGTTTTAGTATCCAAATAAAACACAGTTAAAAGATTTCTTATTGTTATAATATAAGTATAAAGGGAGATTTGACAACGTAAATGGTATTGCCTTCTAAATAGTCTAGCTCGCAAACAGCAACATCTCTAGAAAGTGCTTTATTAGCCCTGTCACTATCCTAAACGTTTAGGATCCTATAAAAACATTTAAATGAGAAAATTGAGGATCAATAAAAAAAATAGTAGTAACTGTTTATTTAGTATTAAAACACTGAAAAACAAATTTTATTTTCTAGTAAATTAAATGTGTAAGTGTAAAATTATTGATGTTTATAAATGAGTATTTATGACTGTAAAATTTTATATTATAGAAATTTGTAATAAAAGCTTACAATAAATATTATATTTAGAAAAAAAAATATTATTTTACTTACACTTTAAAAATACTTTGACTTGGTTTCTCCTTATGTTTTCGTTAGTTTTAGATCTGATTTATATCCCGTTTTAAAACCTGGAACGAAGTAAATTTTGCTTTGATATTTTTTTGTCACTCATGTTACTTGTTCTCAGGTACTTTTTACACATTGTTTTGATTACTTTCACCAAATTAAAAAAAAAGAACTATTTCACATTGACTTACATATAAAATTAACGTATCTAATGACCGATCCGCCAATTACAGTCAATTTCGCAAATTTTATAAAAATAATGACGGAAATTTGAAATTTGTCCATGGTCGATTCGCCTCCTTATCTTTAGTCTTCATAGTTATAGTTAAAGAAAAAATAAAAAATAAGAACTTAGAACGTCCACGCTATTTGATACTTAATTTTATTAATAAAAAAAAAACAATAAATACAGACTCTTCAACAATTCCCACGTTACCATTGATAACCTTTTTAGTGACATAACAACTCAATTGTTAGTGCCATTGTTTTCGGCATGTGTGTATTCTTGAAGACGCTGTATGTGTGTAAATAACTTATTGCACTTATTTTTGAATACCCTGTACACATCCTTTGAATCGGTGGTGTAGCGGTCTAACGCGCTTATATTCATTTATAAGCAAGTTTATGTGTCAGAGACTGCTGGGCTTCGAATCCCAGACCAGACCATGTGGATTTTTAATTAAATTGCATGGTTCGGTATAGGATTTGATGTGTGTCGTATTATAGAAATTCAATTTCTGTTGATATGACATGCAGATTATAAAAAAATCGCCATACATTACCCTCCATGATGGTGGGTGACGTTTTCCGGATTTTCCTCACCTGTAAGTCAAATGGCACCATCAATCATTTTTAAGTCGCCCCGGAGCGCCACGGCAAATAATAATAATGGCCGTCCCTTTCCCCGCACAAGCTCAGCTTTTGGGGTTAATTTTCACTCGTAAGGGGGTGAATTAGGGAGAGTATTATTATTATATTACATCAGGTTAAAAATAAATTTGGTCGCATGTTAGCCCTCATTTTTTATAACGACCAATGTGAAGTTGTAAGATCGGAGGAAACTATTCTAGAAGACGACTATCATCCAGCACTCAAATTAAATATATCACAATACAAAAAAATAAATAATGTAACTAATAATTCTTCTTCAGTAGAATTTAATTTTAAAAAAGCCAATTACGCGACTCTCTATTTTGACCTCCAATCAATCGATTGGAATTTTTTAAATAATATAACTGATGTGAATGACGGTGTAAAAAAACTATATGAATTAATTTCACGACATATTCCAAAAAGAAAGCTAGTAATAAAATGTATCTTCCATGGTTTAATGGGTCTATTATCAACATGATCAAACAAAAAGATAAAGCTCATTGTCGGTTTAAGTCTACAGGTTCTCTTGAGGCTTTAAATACATTCAAATCCGCACGTACTAATGTTAATAGACAAGTTAAGCTTGCACATTCTCAATATGCTGAAAGAATGGAAAATAATATTCAGGAAAACCCTCAGAAATGTTGGACATATGTAAACTCTTTTAAGAACTCCTCAAGCTTTCCATCTTCAGTACAAATTAATAATGATGTATTGAATAATCCATTAGATATTGTGCAGGCATTTGCAGAGCATTTTTCAAACAATTTTACATTACCAACACGTACTATTGTATCTGTTCAATCAACTTCTGTTAATTTACCTATTTTATCTATAAATCATTTATCTGATAAAGAAGTGGTAGACGCTATAAAAATATTAAAGCCAAAGATGACAATGGGATCTGATTATATTCCTTCCTTCTTCATTAAAGATTGCGCACACATTCTTTCTTTTCTTACTTAGAAAATAGACGTCAGAACGTGCAATACCAAGGATTTAGATCAAACCATTTTAAGCAAATTTCAGGTGTACCGCAGGGTTCGGTCCTTGGGCCCCTTCTTTTCATAGTTTTTATTGATGAAATTATTGGCAAAAGCACAGAAGTATAATAATTAATGTATGCTGATGATTTAAAAATTTTTGCTGAAATACGGAACTTTGTTGATTGCACAGCTTTACAAAGTTGTTTAGCTGAATTATTGCTATGGTGTACTAAAAATTATTTGTATTTGAATCCTGGTAAATGTAGTGTTATGACATATACTAGGAAAAAATCATATTTCACCTTTGATTATCAGATCAATGGCACTGTGTCAGAGATAACAGAGATATAAGCAGTCATTCATAAAATATAATATTCATGGTGCCAACAATAGTTAGTACTGTATATATTCTATTTCTAGACGCGGGGCGAGGCGACGAAAGGTGAGAAGTAAGAGAAGGGATAGAGTGAAGGATTTTACGTAGTTTTATCAATGAATAACTGCCCGAGCTTATACTACATAACGTAAATTTCCATGCCGGTGTAAGCCCTGTTGCCACTTCCAATTTAACATCTCTAGGTTTTGGAATTTGTTGAAAATTATTACATCTAATTTAATGAAATTACATCTAATTTGGTTAAAAATGGCTATTTTTTGTTCTAATGCTCAATTAGGTCTTTGTAGAAAGTATTTTTTTTTATAATTATTTAAAATCATTTACATTAGCCCTTATGGTCGAAAAAAAAAATTTAAACGTCAATATCTCGGTTCAACCGTCTACAAATTTGTATAAAAAATGTTCTTTTAGAAATATACTTCTCATTTGACGAAAAACGAAGGCATAAATGAAAAACAACTATTCTTTATAAAAGTTTCGCCTATATATTGACAAGGTAAAAGTACTTTCGTCATATTTTTTGCTTTTAAATTAACAAAAATATAGCAATAAACAATCAGTGATGTCATGGTTTTACTAGAAAGCAAACATTA